ACCATGTTGGCCAGGCTGGTCTTGAACTCCTGACGTCAAATAATTCACTTGTCTAGGCCTCCCAAAGTGCTGGGATTATAGATGTAAGCCACCATGCCTGGACTATTATTTTTAATTGACAAAAATTATATATATTTGCCATGTATAATATGTTATTTTGAATTATGTATACATTGTAGAATGGCTAAATTGAGCTAGTTTTTATATATATATAAGCTCACATACTTTTTTTGTGATAGTCACCATGATGTACAATAGAAGTTTTGAATTTATTCCTTCTAACTGAAATTCTGTATCCTTTGACCAATATCTTCACCCACTCCTGCCCTAGCTCCTGGTGATCAACAGGCTACTCTTCTACAGGATTAACTTTTTTACACTTTACATGTAAGATCAAGTGGTATCTATCTTTCCATGCTTAGCTAATTTCATTTTACATAATGTCTTTCAGGCCCATCCATGTTGCCAAAAATGTCAGGATTTTATTCCTTTTTATGGCTGAATAGTATTCTATTGTATGTATGTGTGTGTGTGTATGTGTGTGTGTATTTTCTTTATTTATCTGTTAATGGGCACTGAGATCGATTCCATATCTTGGCTGTTGTGAAGATTTGTGCAATAAACATGAGGGTAAAGATGTCTCTTCAACATACTGGTTTCCTTTGGAAATGTACCCAGTAGTGGGACTGCTGGATCATATGGTAGTCCTATTTTAAATTTTTGCTCTATTCACTATTCCTTAATGGTTATATTTGTCTATCAATAGTGTATAAGGGCTGTCTTTTCCCCACATCCTCTCTAGTGCTTATCTTTCATATTTTGACAATAGCCACGTGAAAAATTTTTAAGGCTCTGACATGTGAAGTGGATGTGCATATCTTTTCTTTTCCTCTTTGTTTTTAATATATGTGCTATACCAGACCAAAATTTCATGTTATTCGGGCCTATTAGAAGTGGTGGTTCAATAGTGTTCAGCTATATTTGTACGGCACCTTCTTTGTACCATGCACAATCATTGGCATTAGTTCACTAGGTTGTGAGGGGTGCAGGATCTGATCAATTCTTCCATTATTCACAATCACTTTAAAGGTAAAGAAATAGTCCCATTGGATCACTTGCCTAAAGTCAACGTTTGCCTGTTGGTCCTAAGTACCGTCTCTTTTGCCCAAACTAGACGGCATTTCTAACAATGACATTATCAAGGAATGGCTATGTGTTTACCTGAGGAATGGGGATGACCAATGTGAGGGTGCACACACCCTCCTTTTGTTGGCTCACAGGTGAGACACAGCTCATAGGGTCTCTCACTCTTTCTGCTTAACCCCCTTTATATCATCTAATCTTTCCTCAAAATAAGCAGGAACCACACTGAGGCAATAAAAAGGAGTAATTAAAATATTTATAATATACTGATTGTCAGTTTATGCTCATCAGTATATAAATTTTTAAAGGTGTTACTGTTGTAGATAATCTGAAAATAGAACAGTAAATATATATATTTTAATGTAACAGAGTTACAATTTTTAAACACTAAATTATACTTTTTTGGTATGTGATTTTTTGTTTGTTTGTTTGTGCTCATCAGTTTTGTTTTTTTCCTGCTCTGAAAAGCCATTCTGTAGAGTCCAGTTCTTTTTACTTTTATCCACAGGGAAGTCATAATCCCTTACTTAAATAGAAGCTGGTTACCATGGCAATCATTCTAATGGCGCTGAATCAATATTTTGATTTTGCTGGCATTTAATGTAAAAAGAAAAGACAGGCTAAGATTTATAAAAGTCATTTTTTATCTTTGTTATACTGTTGATAGCTAGAAAAATTATAAAGAAAACATATGCTCTATAATGAACTCCAGTTATAGCACAATTATACAGAACTGACAGTTCATAAAAGAACAATCTACATATTTATATATTAATAATTTTGGCTCTGAGGATACACATATATACACATGCATTTGGACTCCAGATTTTTTCCCCATCCCTGAATTGAGCCCTGTCTCTGTGCTATTATTGAGGTCATAAATTGGTAGAAGAGATTTGCATATATCTACTTTTGCAATTGCCATTTTATTAAGTGTTCTGAAGAGAAAGTAAAATTCCCATGAAGAATCAGTTCTCTGTGGAAGTCTACCATTTCTGCACTGGGTCCTGATAACTTATGTAGCCCACTGAACACCCTCAGAGCTCCTTTTTGAGGAGAAATGCTGGATTTGGAGTTGGTGTTTAATGAGCTCACTACCTATCAAGTATTTTTTCCAAGTCTAACAAAAGTCTTTGCTGCTGCAATTTAACCGCATCTGCTATTTTGTCTTCCGAAAAAATAAAGCTTGTTGAGCTGCTGCCTTCTACTTGACAAGAAGGCATTGGGAGCCCACTATCCTTGAATGGTGAAGACATCTGAGAGAGAATTATGAGACTGTCTGCCCCAGGAACTAGCTATGAAACATCCCGAATGAATGGGAATCCCTTCTATTTTTAAGACAAGTGAATTGCCGCTCAAATTTTTCTTCTGTGGGACAGTAGTCATGATTTTCTCCATACTTTCATTCTAGGTAGCCCAGCTCCCCCTCCCCAAAGGGGGGCTTTTCTGAGGTGTGTATTTTACACTCTTTCCAGAAATGTTCCTGCCAACATGACACTGATAACACATCCCTTACTGGCTACCTTTGTCCTTCTCATCTCTCTTCTGTTTTTGGGTGGATTTTTTATTCCCCTTTATACTTGAGTTATTCCTGACTGCATTCAGGCCCCCATCTTTCAGAGATCACTTTCTTACATCAGCAATTTTCTTTTGAAAACAATCTAACATAATTTATTATGTAGTTTTCTGGCAGTAGAAGTAGGAGAGTGGTGACTTCTGTACAGAGAATCACAGAAAATAAAGAGAAATGAAAAGCACCATGTATCAAGGAAACCTATGAACAACATTTAAAATTTACAAAAGGTAGGCCTCTGGGGCCTTTTAGTGTACTACTGAGCTAAGGAAACACCTATTAATACATTGTGTCTAAAAGCATCAATGTGTTACAAGCTGAAGGACTTACTGATAACTCTGAATCAAGAGAAAAAGAATCAAATGTCTAATACTCTAAGAGGGCAGAGGAATAACAGTTGTACACACACACACACACACACACACACACAGGAATGTTCATTGTAGCACTATTCATTGTAGCTGCAAAACAGAATCAATCTGAGTATTCTTCAACAAGATAATGATTAAATAAATTACTTGACTGTACATTTCTCTCTGTTAAAGTTGTTTCTTAACAAGTTGCACACCATGGAAGTCGGTTACAATCGAAGAAGTGAAAATACAAAACACAAGACTCTATGCACTATGATATCAATTTTGCAAATATGCAAACACATACATGTTATTCACATGTGTGTCTTAACCACATATACTTACATGCAAAGCATTTTTTTATATGTATAGTAGGAAAAACTGAAGCCACAGGAGATTTTTTTGTAGAATTTATGGACTGACTCCATCTCCAAGCATTTATTGGTATTATTCAATATGCACTGAAGATATTGGTTGTTTTTGGCTAAAGGCACCTGGCACCAATGAGAGAGAGGAGAGACAAGGATGATGGCAGAGACAGCACGTACCTCATAGGCATCTGACCTCATGGACTGCCTATGAGAATCTGTGGAAAGATTAGGCCAGAAGGCCAAGGGGCTTTCATGAGGGACTAGGGAGCCCATGTGACAATGAACACTGCCTAGCTGAAGAAAGGACCATGTGGCTCTCTGAGGCAAATATAACACTTGGTACCCTAGGGGCTCAGAGAAGCTTGCTGTGGAGAAAGGAGAGTGGGGCAGAAGAGAAGCTATGGGACCCGGTGGAACTCCTCTCTCAAACCGTCACTGGCAGCATTGGGAACCTTGAAGTGTTTTCCACATTTGCTATGTAAAGATCTGAATGTGCCTATGCAACGAGCTGAATGTTTGTGCTCCCCAAATTAGAATGTTGAAACCTTAATCCCATAATGATTGTATGTGGAGATAGAAAGGGAAGGAGAGAGCAGTGCTTTCATGAATGGGATTAGTGTCCTCCTATGAAGAGGCCAGTGAGGCCTTTCTGCCCTTTGAGGATACAAGGTGAAGTTGGCAGTCTGCAACCAGGAAGAGGGCCCCAACAGAGCTCTCAGGATTCCAGCCTCCAGAACTGTGAGAAATAAATTGCTGTTGCTTATATGCCACACCCAGGCTATGGTGTTATGTTATAGCAGCCCCAACTGACCAAGATAGCTTGTGTCAAGGCACACTTGACACAAGTCACTGGAGTAAGGCTACTTTCCCACCCAGGAATTCTTGGGAGTAACTCAGGGAAGCTGAGACTCTACTAAATTCAGTAAGACCTAAAGAGCCGGTGAGACCTGGTGTTAATGTGACCTAATTTATATTCATAGACCAGCAAGGAGGCTGGGATATATTTGATTTGTATGTTTCATAGCTGAGAAAAAACACAGGCAGGTAAGAGTAAAAACTGGAGATAATAAGTAGAGTTTAAGATTATAATATGCACACACACACATAAATACATAAATTCATATTCATTGGAAAGAAATTCACCAAAATGTTTAAAATGATTATTTCCCAAAGATAAGATTATAAGCTTTTTCTTGATATTTTCCTGAATTAAAATGTTCCCTTAATAATCAAATAGTAATACCTTTAATTATATAAATAGTATAAGAAAATATAACTTTTAGATATATTTCTGGACAGAATAATTTTTGAATAATTTGAAGCTTTAAAGGATGAAAAAAACTCATATATTGCCTTCCCTTTCTGAACAATCATAAATACATTCTTCTGGAAATTTAACAACACACTAATAAATAACCTTCCCTTCAATTCTTTTCTGGGACTTCAGGGTGAGAGGCAGCATTATGTGGCCCAGTGAAGAAGGCACTTGCTCCTGGGCATGCTGACTGAACATACTATCTGAAAAACATTTCTAGGTGACGTGGGCATGGCGTGTTTTACCTTCAGTCCTCTCAGGGGGTTTCCCGCTTTTACTGGCTGCAGTGCTGCTGACCGTCTCTGATGAGGTGCTCAGCTTGGTGCTGGGGTCCCGCTTGGGCTTGGGTGGTGGTTGCCTCCGTGAGCCACAGCTGCTGTCATCGTCCGTACCCCCAACTGAGTGCAGGGACTGTGATCTCACAGAAAAGCCGCTGGAGCAAGGATGGGGGAGTCTGTCCTGAGGAGCAGGCATTGTCATGAATCCCATGCGGAAATGTTTGCCCACGTAACTCCCTTCGTGGCCTCGCCCTACTTCTCCACCTATGCTGTAAAAGAAAGCAAACCAAAAACCATGAAGATAAAAGGAGCCAGGATATACAAGATCACATGTGTGAGCATATTTCTAATACGGAAACTTTCAAATCTTCATTTTAGTCTGGTGAAAGGCTACCTTTTAAAACAAACTCAAGTAGCATGAAAGCATTCTAACTTTTGTGTTAAATGTTGTTTTCCCCAAAGGAAAGAAAAAATACGGCATAGAACACTTATCTTCAATCACTTTATATTTACTTTGAGGTAAATCTTCTCAGTGGCTTAAAACCGTAAACAAAAATTCCATGACAATGACTCATAGATTCCTTTCGACATGTGACTCAGTCCTAGTGGTCAGCACTTGGGACTCTTGTCCACTTCATCAAAACCATTCCTGCTTTTATCTGCTTAACATATTGGAGAAAATGAAACAAACAACAATAATAAATGTTCTGTTACCAAACACGAAAGAAAGGAAGGAAGGAAGGAAGGAAGGAAGGAAGGAAGGAAGGAAGGAAGGAAGGAAAAAGAAGAAATAAAGAGAAATGAAAAGCACCATGTATCAAGGAA